GACCCCCTGCCCGAGCCCTGAGCCCCCCCCACACCCCAAACCCCCCATTCCCAGCCAGAGCCCTCATCCCCCTACACCCTAACCTTCTGTCTGAGCCCTGAGCCCCTCCCACACCCCAAACCCCCCATTCCCAGCCAGAGCCCCCATCCCCCTACACCCTAACCTTCTGTCTGAGCCCTGAGCCCCTCCCACACCCCAAACACCTCATCCCCATTCCCAGCCAGAGCCCTCATCCCCCCACACCCTGACCCTCTGCCCCAGCCCTGAGCCCCTCCTACACCCCAAACCTCCCATTCCCATCCCCAGCCAGAGCTCTCACCCCTACTCTCGCCCTGAGCCCCTCCCACACTCCAAACACCTCATCTGCAGCCACACCTACAGCCCTCACCCCTGCATCCCTCTGCACCCCTCCCATTTCCAAACTCCCTCCCAGAACCCGCACCCCAATCTCCTGCCCCAGCCTAGGGCCTGCATCCAAGACCTCCTCCCTCACCCAGACTCCCTCCCAGAGCCTTGGGTGGGTGGGGGGGTGGAGTTTGGGTGGGGGCAGGTTCTGGGCACCACCAAAATTTCTACAAACCTGCCACCCCTGATCCTGCCCTGCAATCCTGAACTCCCAGCATTCTCAGGACACATGCTGAACCCTAGTGGCCACTGCTGATATCCAGCACCTCCCTCCTCTTTTAACCTGTGAGTCCCTCTCTGGATTGGAACTGGACTGGAACCAAAGACCATGTCATAACTATAAAAGGAAGGGTAACAGCCCTGCTCTGTAGAATACTGTAAAATCCCTTCTGGCCAGAGACTCCAAAATCCTTTTACCTGTAAAGGGTTAAGAAGCTTGGGTAACCTGGCTGACACCTGACCCAAAGGACCAATAAGGGGACTTTCAAATCTTGGTGGGGGGAAGGCTTTTGTTTGTGCTCTTTGTTTTGGGGGTTGTTCGCTCTTGGGACTAAGAGGGACCAGACATCAATTCATGCTCTCCAAATCTTTCTGAACAAGTCTCTCATATTTCAAACTTGTAAGTAACAGCCAGGCAAGGCGTGTTAGTTTTGTCTTTGTTTTCTCAACTTGTAAATGTTCCTTTTGCTAGAGGGTTTACCTCTATTTGCTGTAACTTTGAACCTAAGGCTAGATGGGGGTCCTCTGGGCTCTTTGAATCTGATTACCCTGTAAAGTTATTTTCCATCCTGATTTTACAGAGATGATTTTTACCTTTCTTTCTGTAATTAAAAGCCTACTTTTTAAGAACCGGATTTGATTTTTCCTTGTGTTAAGATCCAAGGGGATTGGATCTGAACTCACCAGGAATTGGTGGGGGAAAGGAGGGGGGATGGTTAAATTCTCCTTGTGTTAAGATCCAAGGGTTTGAATCAGTGTTCACCAGGAAATCGGTGAAGAAGTCTCTCAAGGCTACCCAGGGAAGGGAGTTAGTACTTGGGAGTGGTGGCAGCAAAACCAGATCTAAGCTGGTAGTTAAGCTTAGAAGTTCTCATGCAGGTCCCCACATCTGTACCCTAAAGTTCAGAGTGGGGAAGGAACCTTGACAGACCATCTTGGAAGCAACATTACCAGCCCAAGCAGTCAAAAATCATGAGTTGACCCCCCGAAATCACAGGCTCTACCGCCGCCGCTTCATTCATTCTTCAGCGGCAATTCGGCGGCAGGCCCTTCCCTTCGAGAGGGACTGAGGGACCCGCCGCCGAATTGCCGCCGAAGAGCCGGCCCTGGGGGAGGGCGCAATTTTATATTCTTGCCTCAGGCGCAAAAATACCTAGTTACGGCTCTGTCTGGGGCACTCAGAATGGATCTGGCTGTTGTGTTTTAGCCCCTTCTGTAGCTAACACTACCCTAGGACAGGTTTTTGCAGTGACTCTCCTTTCCAGTTCTCTGATTACTGTTTTGTTTAACAAACATTTCCCCTCCTATCCTTTCTAGATCTATGCAAGTCCGCTGAGCTACGTAGCACACTGGATCTGCAGTTTCAGGGAACCTATGCCAATGTACTCAACTGAGCATACAGCTAAAGCAAGAGAGAACCCCACAAAGAAGTTAGTGATGAAAGAAAAGGCTTTGGGGTATCCTAAGACCTTAAGAATGCTAAGAAAAATAACAGGGCTTTTCTGTCCCAATGACTTGCAGCTGTTCAGACAGTGAACTCGTGTCTCACCCTCATGTCCACCAACTCAGCTCTTGTTTATTCTGGATATTCATCAATGGAGTCATTTTCTCAAACATGGCATAAGTTTTTCAAAAAAACAAACATACTCCTCCAATGAAACTAACAAAAAAGGTAGGCGGGGACTCGACTGAGTGAAATCAGCTCAGGGGAAACGACACAGCCCATATTTAACTGAACTTGCAAAGAGACCGAGACAGAGAGAGACTAGAGGCAGCTGTGAAGAGACCATGGCAGGGTTTCATGTCCATAGTGTCCTGGTGACAAGATCCAATCGGGGAATTGGCCTGGAGCTGATCAAGCATTTTATTGGGAAACCGAACCCACCAGAAGTGATCTTTGCCACCTGCCGGGACCCAGAGGGAGTGCGAGCGCAGGTGAGAAGCAGCTTTTTTACTTAGCTGAACTTTGTTTTAGAAAATGTTCTCCAAAAGGGCATGGAATAAAAGCAGGTTTAGGTGGCAGATCCCATGACTGAGTCTGTAACACGGTTTCCCAGCTGTATGTTCCCCTCCACCCCTGAAACCTGCCCTCTTAAAACAGGGAACCTTGCAAGTTTCAGGAGGAGGCCTGATTTGGACTGAGCCCAATTTTACCCAACCCTAACACTACTGGGCCAGATCCTCCACTGCCCTGCGCCTTGTGCAGAGTGGGTGTGAGGTCCTGCCATTCTGTTAGCTCCCCCCAACACACAGACAGACATTCTGTCCGCCTCTGCCCTCCCTCTGCACCCAGATCACCCCCAGTCATTGCTGCTCAGACATTGCTCCTACATTCCCCTTGACACTTATGCAACTCTACTGCTGCACGTTAACTATACGCAGCTCTAGTGCGCATTGTATCACTCGCTTATCCCCATTATCATGTAAAGTTTTGGCCCCTCGCAGAGCCGCAGCTAGAATGTCACAGTTATGTTACCCTGTAATGATGGCAGGGAGCCTGGCACATTGCCCAATCAGATACCCGATTTGTTACACATCCATAGGCCTGTTATGCCAGGGGTCCAAGGCAGACCTGGCTGATGTTCAGGCTTGGCGTGGGGAAGGATTTCTGCCAGACCACCTCACCTCCTCTGAGACACCAGCCCTCCTTCCCCAACAGTGCTGGGACCACCCATTAACCCTTGATGTAGCTGTGGGGGAAGTGAGATTTGCCTGGTGTCCCATAATCCTTCCTATAGTGGGAGCTCTCCCTGTGATGCTTCTTCCTTTCTGGCTCCTTGCACTATAGACATTTGGGCTCGGGCTGCAACTTGAGCTCTGGGACCCTCCCACCTCACAGGGTCCTACAGTCCAGGCTCCAGTCCGAGTATGAACATCTACACCAGAATTAAGCAGCCTGCTGGAATGGGCCACCCAGAGGTGTTTAATTGCAGTGCAGACAAACCCTGCGAGGGTAATAAACTAAGTTCCCTCTAAGCTGGCCCCGGCCTCATAGCTGCCCCAGCAGGGAGAGACACCTCTCCCCTGTCCACTGTCCCCAGAGCTGCCGCGGCGAGAGAGAACTGGGGGGAGTCCTCTCTCCCCGATGCAGCCCCAGGGCAGCTTGAATCCCAAATCCCTCATCCCCAGCCCCACCCCACAGCCCTCACCCCTGCACCCCAACCCTCTGCCTGAGCCCTGCCCACATCCCAAACCCCTCATCCCCAGCCCCACCCCAGATCCCGCACACACAGCTGGAGTCCGCACCCCCACATACACACACCCCAACCTTCTGCCCCAGCCCTGAGCCCCCTCCTGCACTCTGAACCCCTCAGCCCCACCCCTGCCACACATCACCTCCATATTGGTGCACATAACAAAATTAATTCCGCACATGGACGTAAAAAATTAGAGGGAATATTGGTACTAAATGGCTACTGCTCTCCAGCAACTGTCTTCAGGGAGGTTCCCAGTGACCCCGCCTCTCCGAATCTGCCCATGGCTTGTCATGGAGGGGCAGGCCAGAAGCCAATATCTAGAGTCGGGTGAATAATGGATATTTTGTTTTGCTGGCAATTCCAAAAAAGCAGACAGACAAAAATATTGTTATGGGTCAAACTAAAAACAATTTTTACAAAAACGTTAGAAATTTGAAAAAAAAATCTATTTCAGGTCAAATGAAATGTTTGCTTCGATCTGAAACAAAATGTTCTGATTCTGAGCAGTTTTAAATGGTTTGGAAGGTTTTTTAAAAAATAAAATTACAGGAAATTTCCAAACAAAAGTTGTTTTGAACAGAAATATTGAAACATTTTGATTTTTTTCAGGTTTCTCTAGAAATCAACACAAATTCCCAAGCTCGTTTGGTGTTATCGAATCTGCAACTTTTGCTCAAAGGAGTTGGCCAAATTTTTCACCCAGCTCTACTGATATCCCCAACCAGTCCCCCAATCCCCATATGACACCAATGGGGCAAGAAAGGTTTCTGCGTTGCTACTTTATCACTACCTGGTGCTAAAAGATGCACCTTTACTACTTCACAGCAGCCCGTAGGTAGGAGATCTGGGAGGTTCCTTAGCTGTTTCTCAGGGGCTCCACAGAGCAATTACTAAAACATGAGCTGATCCCCAGTGCCTGCTCCTGGGGGCTCTGGAATAAGAGAAAAATCTGTCAACAGGAGTGAGTGATAGGTATGGGAGACCAGGTGAGTGATCGCTGGGGCAGAGTTGGGAGAATGGGGGAAAGAGGAGAACTGATGGAGAGAGGCTGAGGGGATGGGGAAGGAAGAAGAAACAGGAGGCAGGTTAGAAGAGAGGATGGATGGGGGAAGAGGAGTGACAGACAGAAAAAGGGAGTGAACAACATGCAAGGTGTGTGAAAAGGGAAAGCCAGCTGAAGGACAGAATGGATGGGGAACAACATGTGGTAAAGGCCCTAGACAGGGGGAAAGCTGGGACTTCATATGCACCCACTCTGATTTTTTGGTTCCATGATGACCCATGCTGTTCCCATGGTCTTCACTCAGAGCAGTGTCTTGGCGCTCCCAGGCATTATTAACTGCCAGCCACAGGGTCAGCTTCTGCTCTCTGTTAAGCTCACATACCCCCATTTAAATGAATGGGATTGCATGTGGGTGACAGCAGAATCTGTGCCATAGGGCTGTGGGTGTTCTTGGTGCCAGGGCTCTGTCTGATGGGGTGATGCACATAATGCTATTTTTTTTTTTTTTTTTTGCTTCCAGGAACTAAAAAAATTGGCTTCCAAGCACCCAAACATTGTGATTCTGCAGCTAGGTACATCCTCGGTGCATCTGTCCTACCAACCAGCACGCTGCAGACACTGCATGGCCAGCTCTCCGTTAGCTGCTTTCTGATTCGCAGTCTCGGCTCTACGTTCTCTATGACCCTTTCCACATCCATTCTTTTCCAGCTTCCTAACACCTGACTAGATCGTAATCACTAGTGCAGCTAAACAGACCACAACTTGTTAGTGCACTGCTAGTGTCAGTGGATCGTAGTTCCTCATCACTGAATAATGCATAAAGCGCAGTTACAGAGGCTGCCTGCCTCGTCTGGTAATCTGTGCCAAACTCTGCACCTGGTTCTGCTCCCTTTAAATCAAAGAAGTGTTCTGCCGCTGATTCCAGCACGGGAGCAGGACTGGATCAATCCATCAGAGTTAGGAGTGACACAAGCCTCTGCTCAACATTTTAACTGAATTCTCTCTCAGCTGTCTCTAGAGATGGGCTTTTAACCAGGCTACCATAATTGTGGCTGTATTTATTTCATATATCAG